GAAAAAAAAATTTACCAATTTTTTTCAAAATTTTATGAGCGAATTTTACATTGTTAAATTTATGAAAAATTTAACAAAAATTTATTTTCTTTAAATGTTAAATTTAGTTTGTAGATTTATTAAGCTTGTAAAAACTAACAAAGAAAATTTTTCCGTTTTAAATTTACTGGTTTTTTGACTTAGTTATGAGTTTTTTAAACTTTGATTTGCCTTAAAAAATTGTCATATAAAAATATTGATAAGTATCGAATATTTTAAGCTTAGTTATGATAAATTACCAATCAAAACCTTTAATTCAATTGCAAATTGCAAGAGTATATTCGGAAGTTTCCTTTCTTTTTCAAATATAATAAAATAATGCAGTTGTTCTATTACTTAATACAAATCTATACATTTTCTTGGTGTTATTTTCTGCTTAATCAGTTGGTAATACTTTTTCCTAGTGCATAGTGGGCTAGGCCTCTAAATTATAGAGTCGAATAGCTCTCGCAGAACATTGTTTCAATCCCATTATTTGTTTATTTGCTTTGGCTCATTAGCGTTTGGACTCACGTTTTCCCTGCAGACGTGCCATGTTATCTGTATTCCCCAGAAATTTGGGCGTTGTGCATTCTGTGGAAATGGAAATGGAAATGCACATCGAATCGAACACTTTCCCATGTGAGTGAAATTAACCCCGCCGAGTGCCACTTGACTATCATAAAAAATCCATAACGATAAGCGGCAGCACTCTAGAGCCTGTCTATTTATGGCCAATCGTTGTTTTGTTTACACTTGGCCATAAAAAAAAGGAAATTGAAGAAGCAACTCCTTATCTAAGTAAACTATGGCTATATTTTCCACAGTAAAGAAGTCAATATGCCAACTAACAAGAGTATTATTATCGTAAGCTTTGTTTATCCAAGGTTTCCTAAATAATTTCTATGTAAACTCTCAGAAACTAATAGTAAGTGGAGCAAATATATAGATTTTTAGATTAGAGGTCTTAGTTAAGTATGCTCAAGTGATATTAAAGTGGGTTAAATAAAGTGAAACAAAAGTGAAAATTAATATTTATTTAAATTGAAATTAATAATCATTCCTTTCCAATTCAAAGCCTCCTAAATTCTCTTTAATCCCCTTTCTGTTTGAGCGCACATTTGAAATAAAATAGGCATTAATTTCATGGCGATAGATCTGCTTTAACTTTTCCATATTCAAGTGAATCCAAGCAATACTTTCAACTTGAATAAACAAAATTGCTGAAATATGAGACTAATCAGTTTCTCTGGAAGCATTCAAGCCGATTAGCGTTTTATTTAATTGTGGCTCTGGGCAGACACGCTTCCCCTTTAAATCGTAAATCTAGCCAAAGCCCCGGCAAATAAAACAAATTGCAAACAAATTTCGTTTTCATTTCTCGCCCCATCAAATATTGGCACCGCCAAAAGAAATTCGCCACAGGCCAAAAAACGCAAGAAAAAGAGTAGAAAAAAATAAACAACAAAATACGAGGCAGAAATTATGCAAATTTCATTGAAAACGAAAGGCATTCTCCTCCAGCATTTAATTCGCTCCGCATTTGATTATTCATTAGCTGTGATTTTTGGTATTACAAGTTTTATGAGCTTTTTTTTGGGGATTATTATGCAATAAATATCAGAAGAGTTTGAATAATCAAATCGAGTGCTGCTGCAGGCTAGATTTTAATTACGATTTGATTGATTTTACATTTGTTTTGATTTTGATTTTGATTTCGATTTGTTTGGGTTTTCTTTTGGGTGTTTATGCAAATAATGGCCCGATTTTTGGGGACCTTGAACCTTGAGACAATAGACATTAAACACTTGATAATTAAAGTCGGCTAAATCAACAAAAATTTGGCTACAAAATTGCTCAAGCGAGTCGGACTTAAATGACTTAAGAAAAAAAACGGGATAGAAATAAGAAAAACACTAAAAACAAAGCGACGAAACAATAGAGCGTCCAAGTGCAAGTAAACACGAAAATAACAACTACAAAAACAATAACTGGACAAGATTCCGGCCGCAGCATGGCAACAACAAAGTAAAAGAGAGAGAGAGAAAAAAAAACATACAAGTTTAACGAAAAATCTGCGACGCTGAAATATACACTTGAAGTAAAGGGAGTTGCATTTACTTATTAAAGTTATTTCCATATGCTTGCTTGTATTTAATTTGTTAAAACAAATTCTGCTCACTATTTATATTAACAACAAAAAATTAAACATCTAAAAATATAACTATTAAAATCATTGAATTTAAAGCCTTAAACTGCATTGGTATGAATTTATGTCATGGAAACTCTAAAACTCCAATTGTATTGGTTTTGAAGCTCATTGCCATTTTGTTATTTAATAAACCTTCATTTGTATTTATTTATTCCCATTTTAATTAGAATTATTGTTGTATTAAACAGAATAATTAATGGTACGTACAGTACTCCCTAATTTGTCTCAATGCTTCGGTTTTTCTTTCAGTAAATCAGCAAAATGTTTGAATGGAAGCAAGAAAGCAAAACCAAAACAATTTACAGTTTTATTCCAATGCGTTTGGCAGCGGCAGGTAAGACAAGGAGAGCGCTAGCTAGAGTTGCAGCTCGAACTGCAGCTAGAGCGAGATGCCCTTAGGCAGATGGAACCCTTGCCAAAAAGAAGAAGCGAAAAATGAACGGAACCTTTCGTCTGGTTTTCGGCGTTTTCAAGGTAAAAACTATAGAAGTTGTACAAACCTTTTAAGCGATCTGCACCAACACTTGCATTTTCAATTGCCAGCAATTGGTTGCAATTCTCGTGACGATTTATATTTACAGCTACGTTTTTTGCACAACCGGCATACAGAAAAACGCGCGCGCGATCGCAAGGAATGTGAACAAAACAATAAAAACACTTAGAACCTTACAAAATCTGTCTTATATATTGTTAAAATATATGTCTTGGTTCAGCACTTGATAAACTAACTTTTGTTGATATGTTTTATAAACAAAAACCATGTAAAACTACGAAAAACAACGTAAAAACACATTCGCGACGCGGGACCCGTTCACTTGCCAATTTATTTTTTCAACTACCAACAACAACAAGCGTCATGCTGCTTTTATAGCTTTTCAGTGTTTTGGTGTGACTGCTTGTCGCGAAGTATAAAATACCATTGGGCAAATTCTAAGCCGGGACGCACAGACTTTCATGTAAAGGTTCAAAACTTGGCTGAGGATCAAAAAGCAAGAAGTCAAATAACAGAAATGTAAATGTAAAAATTAAATAAGTGAAGGTATAGTTCGGTAGATGGCCAAACTTTGAAACCTGATTTGGCGCGAAAGGTATTTTAAAGGTTTTTAAATATTTCTTTGCAATTTTTCTAGTTTGACAGTTTCTCAAAAAGATTTAAGTGCAAATATTTCTTAAAATTAATCAACATGCAATTAGTTAAACATTTAGTTAGTAAAACGCAACGGTTAGTGGCCGGTAAAGACAAAAACTACAATGAAATAGGATTTCCATCAACTTTATTAATATTTTCTTTTTCGTTTAAATTGTTTTCTTAATTTTTGTTTTGTTTTTGGTTTATTGGCATCACACGTAAAAATATATTGTGGCATTGAATAGTTTTGGTTTAAACAAGTATATATATATAGTTTTGGTTTTTTCGTGTATATAATATCAGTTAATTAGTTTTTGCTCAAAACGGTAAGTAAGCAATGCAAATTTCGAACTTAATTTCTAATTTTTTACAAAGTGTTTCGGTTGCAGAAGCTTGTAAAAGGGTTTTGCCTTCAGTGGCTGCTGCGGTTGCTGTTGTTGTTGCTGCTGCTGCTGCTGCTGATGTGACTGTTGCAGTAGACTTGGATTTGGATACGGATTTGGCTGCGGATGTGGCCAGTAATAGCTCCTTGCCACAGGCTGCACTCTCAGTAGGAAACTTTAGCGCATTCGAGTGTACGGAAAATGCGATTCAATTAAATTAAGGTAAAATTTTCGACACATTCACAAAATGTTTCGAATACAAAAAGGGATGACGAACGACTGACTGTCTGTCTAACTAATGTAAATTTCATTATTAATTCCATTCATAAACTGCATTAATTGTATATTTGTTTTAGTTTTACTCTTGGGAACCAGTCTTGAGGAGCACACACATTTGATGCATGTAATGTATACGAGTATAAAACCATGGAACCTCTCTGGGGGGCTTGCTAAGGTTAGTAGCTAAGGGTTAGGGAGCACACACACAGCACGGCGGAGGAGAAGGGAGAGTAGCGATGCGGATGCTGGACCAGAACGTTCACCAGGACTCACCCATCTGGCTGATGTGGCTGCTGCTGCTGCTGTTGTTGCTGCCGGCGACGTCTAGCCACGGCGCTATTCTTGATGATGGCTTCAATCTCCCGACCTCCTGAACTTTCGCCTTCGGATGCAGAGGCACAGTTACCACCGGCTCCATCTTCACCAGTAGCTGCCGCTCTGGGTTGTCCCAAGGTGGCTAGATTCCTCACCAGATTCACGGCATCATCGTGCTTTGGTGTGGCACAGTTCTCCTTGGACACATTCCTTAGGATTTGAGCCAAGTTCCTTTGGGGATTATCCACCTCATCGCCTCGGGTGGCATCTGCCGTGGTGGCTGATTTACGGAGATTAGAGACAGTGGCATGGGTGGATCGCTTCAGGCGATTCTTTAGCTCCGCATTGAGATCCACGGGCATTAGGCCTCGACCAATGCCCATGCCCATGCCCACCATGGGCTTGCCCGTCTTAAGGATGCTCTTAAGGGGCTCGGCGGCTGCTTTACCTATAAAAAAGAAGTAAACAAATCATTAATTCAAGTTCGTTTGTGTAAAATATAAATTAAGTGCCTTAAAAATGTAGCAAATCATTTAAAAAGCAGGCAAAAATTATATAAAGAAACATGCCAACTTGCAAAAAGCGGAAAACATGCTTTCAACTTACTCAGCTTAAAGGGACTTCTCTTCTTTTTTTTGTTTGAGATCATACTTGTTCTTTAGCACATTTCTTGTATTTATTTTCTCGTTTCTCGGTCTAACAACTTGCATTATTCATTAAATATTACAATAATAATAATAAGAGTAATAGTAATAATAATAATAATAATAAATGTAATACAATACGCATCAATATAATAATTCCTTTTAAGGTACAATTCGTTTTTAAATGTAAATAAAAAGTAGTGTATAAATATAAGCACAAAAGCGCAGAGTTCGCATTATAATAGATAATGGTTTTTTAACTGGAAGGTTGTTTTTACGGGCCATATTAATGGGAATTTTAAAACTGTCTCTTGGTTTAAATACAAAAGCCTAACTCTTTAAATAGTTTTGCCTTTTATTATTATTATTACTTCGTTTTCGATTTACACATTTCATGGGATTTATTTTTCGTTCGTTCTATTCAGTTTTAATTTATTTTATTGGCGAAAGAATAGTCGCGGAAGAGGTTTATGGTTTCGGGGCGCATCTATCACACTGAGCGCTGGATTTTTAAGAGGGATTACTGAAAGGCAAAATTGGAAAAATTGGAAAAATTTTGAATGCTTGGCCAAAATAGACAATTTTCCTATCAGCCCAATATCTCGCCGCACAGCCGCTTGAAATCCTTGCCAGCGGCCTGCAGCTCATCGGGCGTCACAACAATGTCCTCAAAGTTGGAAATGGTGGCCTTCAGTCGATTGTTGGGCGAATGGGCACGCTTGGGACTTGGCATGGCGGATGTGGGACTGATGCAGCCGTTGGTATAATGATCCATAGACGCCGGACGTGACCGCTTGAGCATCTCCCTTCGCTTGGCCGTCGCCGACGGCACTGTTATCGTAATGGGCAGACGCACAAGAGCATTGGTGGCCTCCACCTGGTTATGGTGGCTATGACTTTGTGTCGGCGGCAGCGATTGGGTCTTGAGCAGTGTGGTGCTATTGTAGGTCTCATTTTCAATATCATCTTCACTGTCTTTATCCTTGCGCTTCACTCCAAAGTATTTGGCATAACGATCGTCCACATTGGGCGTTCGGCCCACTGACATTGTGATGGAGGTGATCTCGGTGGTGTGCCGACGATTCACGGCTGGAGGCGGCTGATATTGCTGCTGCTGCACCAAACGGTTGATCTTCCTCCGCACCTCGGACACCTTTTGAGCTGTTTCACGATCCTGATCCTGTTGCTGCTGATGCTCCTGCTGCTGATGATTGGAGGCACAGTTCTCCTTGCCCGAATCAGAGCCACTATCACTGCTATTTGTCCCATTGGTCATCTTCTCCTGCTGCTTTTCAATAAACGGTGACTTGATCTTGCCAATGGAGCGAACTGTGACGGCAACATCGATGGAGTTTAAGGTCTGCAACTTGGGCTGTAAAGTGTTCCAGTTGGGACTGCTGTTGTTGCTGCTCGTCTTGGTATTATTATTCCTATCATTCCGGAAGGATTCGGGCAGGACAAGCTTGCCCACGGTTCGCAAACGGATGGTTCGAATGGGCGTGGCAGCATTTGTAGGATCTGTGGCGGATCTGCTTAGGGCATTGAAACCATTGTGCAGGGGTGACTCGCTGAGAACTGGCTCTTTGGTCTTGGCATCCACTTGCTCCTGCTCGACCGGCTCTATGATGCTCTCCAGGGTCAGGCTTGAGGGTTCCTTTTCGTGCGGTATTGGGGAATAATCCATGGGCGTGGGCGTCACACTGACACTACTGCTGGCGGTGGTGCTGCTCCTGGGCGTGGTGCGATCTATGGGTGGACTCCTGGAGTAGCTGCTGGTCCGACTGCGATACCTGCCACTGGCACTGTTCGTTCCACTGTTGTTGTTCCCGCACAGGCTGCTGAAGAAGGCCAGGCGCTCGGCCAGCGAGAGGGACGAGGGTTCTGGTGGATGGTGATTAAAGATTAGTGGAAATCCTCGTGGACAAAGCCTATGCTTACGCATTGCATTTGCCTGCTCAGTCTACTTGGAATATATGGATATATTTATTGCTGCTGCTTCTGATGCTGTGGTTCCTACTCGTGTGGTTTCTCTCTGAGTTGTGGCCACCGACAAAAGTCAGAGACGCAGTTGGCATTCAGTTTTTATCCACTGCCCACTCAGTGTTTGCTGCTGTTGCCGCGATAATTCATATATTTCTCACTCTACAGTATCATCATCTCAAGCGGTTTGCTCTTTTATCAAGCTCTAAACCTATCACAAAAGACGAAGATATGTTACCCCCACATTGGAAAGTTTTTTCGTCGTCTGGTCGTCTGGCATTTATAAAGCAATTTCTATAATTTGCCAACACTTTTGTCCCCTTCCTAAACACATCTATCTTTGAGATACATCTGTGTATCGCTTGAATTTTCATTTTCGTTTGCAAACTTTCGATATATTGGTTCTGCCTCAAAACGCTTTTAATTGATATGAACTTTCTTTGTGGCTGCACATTTATTAGTGATTAGTGACGACGAGTGTCTGTGTCTGGTTGTGGGGCAAGCTTCAGATTGATAAAAAAAGAATGAATAATAAGCAACGAATTTGTGGAATTTTTTATGGTAATTATGGGGAATAGATAGTGTTATTTCCTTCTTAGAAAAGTTCATGTTTCTTTCAACTTTCGAGTAGATTGTGCATACAGAATTTATGGAACGGACCAGATCGGACAAATATATCATATAGCTGCCATAGGAACTTATAACTTTTGCAATATTCAATATATTTTTATCTTACTTGACCTAATTTAATTTGAGTTGTAACTAATTCTGAGCAGTAAGTAAGTCTGAACAGAAAGTATCTATGACTAATGAGTAACTATGTTCAGTAAGTAAGTATAATCAGTTACTAACTTTGAACACTAATAAACAATGACTTGCAACTTTTGCAACACAACACGTATCCAAGACTTGGCTGGCAGCAGTCACTTCGTTCCGGGGCAGTTAGAACTAGTTGGGAATCATATGCACTGATGTGCAAGATTGTTATGGAACAAATTTGAATGAAACCATGGAGTTATTCTTCTATATAATTTTACTACCATATAAGTCGGAGCGTGGCGAATCGGTGGACTATATATATACATATGTATAGCTGTCATAGGAACAATCGGATGAATTATAGAACTATGATCAGTAATTAACTATGAGCAGTAAGTAGCTCTGAACAGTGAGTATCTATGCCCAGTAAGTAACTTTGATCAGTGAGTATCTATGACCAGGAAGTAACTATGATCAGTAAGTATCTATGACCAGTAAGTAAGTATGTAAGTATGATCAGTTACTAACTTTGAACACTAATAAACAATGACTTGCAACTTTTGTAACACAACACGTATCCAAGACTTGGCTGGTAGAAGTCACTTCGTTCCGGGGATGGTAGAACAAGTTGAGAATTATATGCACAGATGTGCGAGATTTGTTGTGGAACAAATTTAAGCTATTTGAATGAAACCATGGAGTTATTCTTCGATATAATTTTACTACTATATAAGTCGGAGCATGGTGAATCGGTGGACTATATATGGATCGGTGGGTATATATCTATATAGCTGCCATAGGAGCGATCGGACAATTTTAAGAAAAAAACGCATAACTTTTCCAGCTTTCAACAGATTTTCATCAAATTTGAGATTTAGCCATTTTATATTATTATAGAATTTTGTTAAAGATTTTATGAAAATCGGACGACTATATAATATAGCTGGTATACACACGATCCTTAGATACATACATATATATGAAAATGCAAAACTGTGAATGTAAATATAATATGTATAGGTGAATGACATATGACATATATCATTTATAATTCTATTAATTCCTAGTGATCGAAGTTCTATTTATCTGCAAGGGTATACAAACTTCGGCATGCCGAAGTTAACTTCCTTTCTTGTTAACAATGTTATGTATATGCTAATTATAAATTAAATCAACTCGCAATTCGTCAAGGTCAACGTCATTTCATCTTATCGGTAATAAATTTTATGACACTTTTTTTCAGTGGGAGACCACAAAGAACACAATGCTCTGTACCCCCCTCACTCTCTCTCTCTCTCTCTACCAATTTCCAATACTTTCTGTTGGCCATAAAAAAAACGAGACCACTGATAAGTGATATGGGGAAAAAAGAGGTTACCAACTGCCTGACTTCACCTTCATCGGCAATGCAAGTGTGTCAGGAGGAGCGTGCGTTTGAAACACTATTTTCGAGGAAGTACCAAACCCTGAGGCGTTGAAAATGTTGTTTAAAAAAATGCCATAAAATTATAAACGCTTAATTAAGTTCACTAAAGACCGCAAATGGTAAAAATATTCCGAAAATAAATCACTGTCTTAAATTACATAAACATACATAGTTGTTGAGAATAATTTGTTATTAGTTTTTTTCGTTTGTTTTATTTCTCATGCGGCAACAGCAAAAATACAACAAGGCAAAAACAAAGATGGCAAAGAGTTAAATTAATTTGAAACTCAAACTGGCGTAAAAAACAATATATAAAATTGTAAATGAATTACCGATGGACGCACCACAACAACATGCAAGTGGAAAACCGAAATTAGTTTATGATATTGTTTTGTTTCTGCTTTTTTTCCCCCCGCTTTTTTTTATGCATTTTCTTTTCAATCAATTGCGCAATTTTGCGTGGTTGCAACTTTATGGCATTCAAGTCAATTAATAAATTAGTGTAAGTATAAAATAAAACACACGAACACAGAGTAAGCAACAACAACAATAAATATTATGAATTATAAAAAGTATGTCTTATTTGATTGTCATTCCAAAAACAATATATATATATTTATGAGCATCGTGCAAATGTAAAACGAAAACATTAAGAGGGAAAAATGTTAGCTGGAAAAGCTCTTGATATCTTGAGTTTTTCCTAGCTAATTTCTTCCTTTTTTATTAATTTGATTTAAGAAAACTCACCAAACTCGGCATCCAGCGTTGTATTTGGCGTTGACAGCTCTTCGGAACTTGGCAGGGAATGATCAGAGGGTCTTGGAGGCGACACTTCGGTGGTTGCCGCCGGCGGAGAGTGTCGGGTTCCAGATGATCCTGAAATAAATAATTTCATTTAATTTTTTATATCAAATCAAGTCCAAATTTAATAAATAAATGTAACTTTAAGTGATTAAATACTATGACCTATTTAAAAGTATAAACAAGTTAGTGTTTTTAGAAATACTTTAAAATACACTAATTTGAAATACACTTTAAGGCAGCCCTAGCTTTTCGATTACATGATTTCGATAGGTACTTCTAATCTCAAGTGACCTGCACAATATATATGTATATAAAAGCATATATAGCTTCTCCCCCTTGATATTGCACCCACAATAATAATATTGGTCACAAAAAAAAGTTACCCAACACGCAGGCCTCAATTAGTTTAGTGATTGCCGCAGACGGCAGGTGACATACATTTTACAGCTTATTAACTTGGCCAACAACCATGAGAGGCGGCTTGCTTGCTTGCAACAACAAAAAACTACACAAATGCTAAGCTAATGACAAAATCTGGCAAAATACACACTGACCACAGCTTGAAGGGTTTTTTTCTGAGCTAATTAATATATCAGAAGCCCTAAGTTTGAAAAATATTACAGAAAAATGTTGGGAGTCTCTTAAAATATTCATAAAACTAATGGAAAGTACTTGAGTTAAGTAAATATTACCCTTGTTTAACGTATTTTTATGATATGCCCTATTTATGGCTTAAAGAAACCAAATATTAGGGTTTATTTGTTTGAAATAAGTAATATTTCTTTATAGAAATATTTGAATAAGATTTCTATATATTATTTAATAGTATTTAGTTTGCTATCTACTAATAAGTATTTAATAGTTTGTATTTCTGAGATTTCTTATCATATCGTCTTATCTCTTTAAAGTCTAAACTTGATTACCTTTGAAAATACTTTAGTTTTATACCCAGAAAAATGTAAACTATACACTCTTGGAATTAAAAATATGAATACTAATACTACTAATAGTAAACATGTTTTAAATTTCATAGATTCCCAACATTACTAACCTTTTTCTTATACATTTTCCCCACATATAAACCTAATACTCTATATGTACAGCTACTTTCCTAGAAAAGACACTTGGGGGCCCTCTAACCTGAGCTCAGCTCTAATCTGCCTTCATTCTGGCTACACTGTGCTCTTGACCTTCTTGCCATGGTTGGCTGCCCCCTTTGGGCCAAAAAACACAGTGGGTTCAACCTAGCGGTCGCTGGCTCGTTTACTTTATTGCTTCATGCTAATTTTTCGCAACTCAGCGGATGATGATGATGATGATGATGACTATGGTGATGGACCCCACTACTAACCCGTCGTAGCCCGCGGAGTGCGCGACTGTTCCTGCAATTGCTGGAACATATTGGCCCTGGCTCGCACACTGTTGCTACGCGTCAGTCCACTAGATGGCGCTGTGGTGGTGGTATCTGTGGCGGTTGCGGTGGCTGCTGCTGATGTTGCGGAAGCGGCTGTCTCATCGCTCAGCGACTGAATTGCCGAGTCCTCCTCCTCCAGGCCGGACATCTCGAAGATGTGCTGTTCGCTGTCCGTTCCAAGCGACAGAGTCAGTTGCTCGCTGAGATTGACGCTGCCGGAGCTGGTGTCGTTGATCGAATTTTGGCGTGCCAACGGATTGGTCGTGGTTCCCTGACTGGCCAAATGGACAACTCGTGGCGATTGCAGCGGCTGTGTGGAGCTGCGTGTGAGACGATAGAAGGATGTGGCTCCACCTGTACCCGAGTGCGTCGAAGAGGAGAGCAGCAGGGGTGCCGGGACGTGACTTAGGGGCTGTCCGGTTATGGGCGAGATCAGCGGCGGATGCGGCAGAGCGTGGCTCAAACGGATGTCCAGCGGCTTGGTGGGCTTAAAGGCCGACGTGGCCGAGATGTCAAAGGGCGCGGAGTTGGCTTTGAAGCTGGAAAGGGGGAAAGTAAAAGGAGTTTTGATTAATACTTGGTATAAGTTTTAAAAACAATTGCAATATTTTATTCATTTTTAAATACATTTTGTGGACTTCTTAGATCATATAATAGTATAAACCTTTTTAAATCTGGTAATTAAAATAATTTTTATAACATGTATATCATTTTCTATTTAGTTTTAAGGGTTATCTATAAAAAATCCTAATTTCTTCAACAAAAATGAACGAATTTTAATCTTTTTTTGTAAAACTTTGGACCTATGTTTTAAATGAAATATTTTATAAAATATAGCTACATGTTTCTCTTATTAAAATAACACTTTATTGTATCTGACATCATATTTCTCTTTAATATTACAAATAAAATAAATAATTAAAATAAATAATTAAATAGTTTATGACTTTATAAGGTTTCAAAATTGATTATCTCAAGAACAAAATGCCACTAAAAATGCTTATCAATTACAGATAACACACAATGGCATGTTTAAATAATTAATAAGGTGATGAAAAATGCGATTTTATAGTTGATAAACCATATTTCCCCTTACTATTTAATATCCAGAAATAGTTTCGACATATTTTGTAAACAATATAATATAACCCGTATTTAAATGCTATTTTTAAAGTTTTTTGGTTACGTTTTTAGACTCTGCTTAAATTTACATAACTTGGCTGAAAACGGCACTGCGTAAATCTCTGTGAATCTTCGTCTCTCTATAATTCTCTGTCTCGGACATAATTATAGGCAATTTAGTTCGGGTTTAATTATGATTTTTGTGGTGAAACTTTACAGCCGGCGGCTACTGCTGTGTATTTTCAGTTAATTCAAACCGAGAGCCTCCAGGTGGTGAGCGAAGGTAAAAGTTTACCAGCTCGACGATGGCCAAAAGAATTAGCCAAATAATAAAAAAATAGCGCCAACAGTGAAAGGTAATTGTATTGATGATAAGGTGTAAAAAGAAGGCAGGAGAAATCCATATACTTTGTGTATATTTTTTCACACTAAACTCCTTAGTTTATCACCCTCTCAAAATACCTTTTCGATTCTACCGCATTCTTCTGCAGTCCAAAATTAGTATCTCACCTACAACTTTTGAGACGTTTTTTTTTTCTTTTCCAATATTTGTTTTGTTTATCGAAAGCATTTTCCATTTTCCATGCCTGGCGCACACACGTCGAGTGTTAAAAAAAAGAAGAGGAAGCGGAAAAAACAAACTAAAAATATATACAAAATTTAAATGCAACAACTAAGCTAATTGGATTTGGGAATGGCAGAAAAGTGTCCAACCAGAACAGGGAGAGAGAGAATGGTAAGGGAGAGAGGTTAAAAAAGCAAGAGAATGGCCAAATCTTTTTACAAACCAAAAAAACATGATTAGGGGCAACAGTTGTTGAAGATTTATAAAAAATAAAAGAGCAGAGAAGGAATAACAAATATATATGTATAAAAAATACATAAAAAACAGATATTCTTTTGGTATTGTAGCTAAGACAAAAGCCAAATTTTAGCAACATAAAATCACAATGATGTCCGTTTGTCCGTCAGTTTGCTTGTGTTTCTCTACGGACAAACCGGAATTACTCAAAAACTATTGAAGCCAGAGCTACCAATATGGGTTATTATACTTATATAGATTTTAAGTATGTTATAATCCTTCTAACACATACATAAATCTTATAGAACCAATTTTGTAGTCTATATCACTTTAATTCGTATATTATTTAATTTTATTTAGAAATAAAAATATTTTCACATTTTTTGCATAATTTGTAGCACATCGATTGGCATTTTGAAAAATCTTTTATTTTCTTTTGGTGCTCACAGTGCACCGTGATTTTTCCATGGAATTTATTTTTAGATCATTACGAAATTTATATATTAAGAGCTGAACCAAAAAATAACACTTGCACATTTCACTGTATAATAATTTTTCTTTGCGTTTTCCTATACCATTAATTTTTGTGTGTTTTATGTAAAAGTAACTACCTTTCCAAAGAAAATTCACACGCGGCTCTTGGGCTTGTCAGCCGGCAGGCAACTGGTAAGGAATTTCCGTGGGGAACGTGGTTTTTCTTCAACTATCGAAATACACACACACATATAGAGACAACTCTATATACTATCTTGTTCTGCGGCTGATAAGAAATGGAGCAAATGAACGAAGAACCCGACCGAACGAACCGAGCAGCGATTCACTTTGATAATTTATCAGTTAGTTTCGATTTCTTTCACACTATGTTATATATATTGTCTATTATTATTTTGGCTTTGGCTTTACGTAAAAAAATATAAATTATATTTTAGAGCTGCCGCTGCTCTGGCGTATACGTGAAAATTGAAAAAGCGATCGCGAGCAACTGAGCGCAAAAATTGTACAAACAAAATGTCGAGAGGAAAAGTCGAGTGGTTCGTGGTTCGGGGTGCTCTGCCAACGTCGACGTTTGCAGCGCTGTCGGCAAATTTAAATTATTTTCAGCTTTGTTTTCTTGCCTTTTTTTATTGCCCCGTGCTTTATATTTATTTTGGTATGGTATTTTCCCATTTTCCTTCCATTTTCTCTGTGTCTGGGAAAATGTCTTTCCGAGTTTTCCACACTGCTCTTTGGTTCGGTTGGAAGAGAGAGAGATACATCCTATGTTACTCTTAGATATTTTTATTTTTGGCAAGATTTGCTTGTGAATGGGCCACCGAGTTCTGAGGTGTGTGACATCTTTGTTTTATTTTTAGAAAAATATTTAACCCACCGCATAAAATAATTATTTAGCTCATAGAAAAAAAAAACTGGAAACTGATTTCTTCCATTGACTTATTTATGACGTTTGGCTAATAAAGAGCAAAGTCTCTGCAATCGCTGACTGTTCCTTTTTTGTGTTACTTATCTTATCTGGTGAGATTATGGAAGATATAGCATAACTTAGAATTGGACGTATATAAGCTATATCGATTTAATCGCGAAACACATGTCAGCGAATTCTTTGTTCCATTGAACGGGTGTACACTTGGCAACAAGTGTTGATTGTTTTTGAACCAAGTTATTGAGATAAGTTCAACTATTAATGAGAACATTTGAAATAGTAAATTACATATATTTCATTGTATTAAATATAACAAAATTCACTAGATATAAATTTAGCAAACTTAGATTTTGACTAAATGTTGCCACAATTATTTTCTGAATAATAATACCTTTTTAGTATATTAAAATTTTAGACAAAAGTTTGTGGAGGGTAAAGGAATCATTTCCGACCTTTTAAATCATACATGTATATAATCATCATGTATATATTCTTGATCAGCATGAGCAGGCGAGTCGATCTAGCAATATTTCGTAAAAAAATTTTTTTTCAAATTTTTTTTCTCAAATTCGGGATTTTAAAGAGGTTTAAAATTGTCAAAAATGTAAATTTTTTTAAATTTTAAATGAAGTACGCAGATTTATTAACCTAATAACTAGAACAGGAAAGCTTTCCGAATTAAAATTAATTCATTTTTAGCTTAGTTATGAGTTTTTTAAACTTTGATTTGGCCCAAAAAAATTTCATATAAAAATATTGATTAAAAATTGCAAATATTTTAAGCTTATTTATGATAAATTTCCGATACGATTTAATAATTAAGTTGCAAAATGCAAGACTTCCTTAAGTTAGTTTTCTTTCCTGTTAACATTTATTTCTAAATCTTCATAATTAATTTTTTATAGTTTATAATTTTTACGATTTTTTTGGGATATAAAAAATATAACAAATATTTTTTAGTGGAGTAAACAAAGTTTTTTAAATTGTTTTTATATTGAGTTATCATTCTGATGAGTGTATATTGTTTTCTTTATAGTATTCTTTAAGCTTTTCAAGGATTTCCTTGTCTATGTTTTCTTACACTGTTGAGTTCGAATTTTTTCTAGTTTTCCCTAGTTTTCTTTCACTTTTCTTTTACCGTTTTCTGATATACGCCTCAAACATTTTCTCGCTCTGACGTCGTTGCAGCAGCAACATGGAACAAAAGTCGATAGACTGTCGCCCTTCGCCTGGGGAATCCTCCTGGTCCCTTCCAGCTGCGGTTATGACACGGAATTGGAATTGGAACTTGGAAAACAAAAAGCGACGGGGGCGCACGAGATACGAAAGTATCTGTAACTGGACGCGTTCGAGCGCTGCAAGCTACTGAATGCAACTGGCGGGCATAAATTACACGGCACAGGGCCCGCGTTTGGGGCCAAATGGGCAAAAGATATATTGACAATATGCCGTTCGCTGAATGCAAATGTGACAGACATAGTGAGAGTGTGAAGAACAAAAGAGGCACAGAACCTGGCTTATTGTTCTTGATGGTTTTTTATTATTCTTTTTTTTTTAGCAAAGGGAGTGCCACAGCGAGTGGAACAACACAAAAGCCGCCCCGAAAAAAAAGAGCAACAATAATAATAATAACAGCAAAACACACACAACACATAGTGATAAAAATGCTGACATAAAAACACAGTTAAACCTGGCTAGGTGTGCTAAAAGAGGTGTAGAGGTGTGTGCACTGCTCTGCTCTGTCTAGTCGAAAGATTCGGGAATGCTTTTAAAGAGAAGAAACTGGGTTTACGAGCATGACATTGGCCAATCCACAAAATTCGCAGAAACAAACCCATCATCATCTGGCATCACCCGAGTGTCAGGTGGGAATTAAAGCAGTCAAAGAACAACTAATTTGAAATGATAGTAAAGTAAATTGTAAATTAAGTTGAAAGTAATTTGTTAGGTTAATTACTTTAGTAGCTAAGGAGGAAGTTTTCTAAGAATTGTAATAGATTTTATTTATATTTCTTTATATAAAAGATGTAAAAGTGAAATATTTCAATGTTTTTGACATGTGATTTCTTTTAGTTTTTAATATTTATAACAACAATTCAAGGCTAAAGCTTTGAATCTTTTAAATAAATTATAGATTCTTATAGAGTAGATTTATATTTTCTCACCTAAAAGATTTAAAAGAAGCAGGCTTATTGCTCTTGATGTTTTTATGTTTTTTAGCAAGTGATTTCTTTTAGTTTTTAATATATAGAACATTAATTCAAGGCAAAATCTCGGCATTTTCTTTAGTATAAATAAAACATTAATTATTCTAATAAATATGTTAAACGTTCTTGTAAGAATCTCATAAATGATCAAAAGAAATCACAACTTACATCCAGAGATGTTCTCTCCATCTCAAAACAAGTACTCTTTCTTACTTTTCTTACTTAAAGGTGTCTAACACCTTTCTAGACATGAAATATGCACAAATAATAATAGTTTCTTTTAAACCCATCTTTAACCCATTTTCCGACCCATAAAAACCCAATCGACCTTCCCTAATCACCAAACCATTACTAACCTTTATTTGTATTTCGCGTTCTCGCGTTGTTGGCCTCAATAGTTGGGCAGGTAATTAGGCAATAAGCCGTAAGCTGCTTAAGTGACAAAAGCAACAAAATAGCAATAAAAACTAAAAATTCGGCAAAGAAAAGTGAATCACATACTATGTATGTATATATGACAACAAATTGAGGTCATTGAAAAACCTCCCCCTCAGCAAATGGAAATGCAATTAAAATATTGCCAAAAAGTGTAAACAACATATTTCCTAGTAAAGTGCTATGAAAATTTCATCAGAATCAGAGTTTACCGAAGTATGTCCACAATAAAGTTAATTAAGCCGATCATGACTGGGATTATATATAATGCTGTTCTGGAGTATGAATAACCTAACAACTATAACAATTTCCATTTGACACTGGCAAAGAGCAGTTTCCAGCAGCAAAAGCACCGTGATGTTATAAATATTTATAGGCTCGGCCAAGTGCCAGACAGAAATGTGCGCTTGCCGGACCAAAAATAGCATTGTGGATAATTCGTGTCTATAGACAGCTTTCCGGACAAGAACAGAAGCGGATTTCGCGTTTGGAATTCTTTGGGCCATCGAAGCGTAAACTGGCGTCCGTTGCAGAAATCAGTTGACAGCTTGACAGGCCACACGACGTATGCGCAATTTAGTGAGGGAGTTTTGCAATGGAAATTTGAATCAAGTTCTGAGTCAAAAATAAGGAAGGATATTTGCTGGATTTACTGGATTATTGTCTCCTTATTAAGTTACGTTTCAGTTCAAACAAAAAATTAATACATTTATGATTATAATTGTTGAAAAAACTATGAGATAATTAATTAAAATTTGTTTTGGGTTTAAAAATCTTATAGAAACCTATTAATTAGTTTTAGGTTCTATGTATTATAATCATAAATTTGATTTAATTATGACCTTTCAAAAGCTTAAAAAGCACTGAAGGAGTCATTTCCGACCCCATAAATCATATATATTCTTGATCAGCATCAAAAGCCGAATCGATCTAGCCATCTCAGGCAATACAAAATTTTAAAAATTTTTTTCAATATTTTTTATCACTAAAATATATCATTTAAAAATTTGAAAAATTGATAAAATTTTAAATTTGAAAACATATTAAATTGAGTATGCAGGTTTGTTAACCTAATAAAAACTAACATAGAACAGCTCTCCGAATTAAAATTAATCCGTTTTTGGGTTAGTTATGTGTTTTTTAAGCTTTGGTTTGTACAAAAAATTGTCTTAAAAATTTTGATAAATATAATATATATATTTTTTCAGTTAGAAGCTTAAAACGCAATGAAGGAGTCATTTCCGACCCCATAAATCATATATATTCTTGATCAGCATCAAAAGCCGAATCGATCTAGCCATCTCAGGCAATACAAAATTTTTAAAAATTTTTTTCAATATTTTTTATCACTAAAATATATCATTTAAAAATTTGAAAAATTGATAAAATTTTAAATTTGAAAACATATTAAATTGAGTATGCAGGTTTGTTAACCTAATAAAAACTAACATAGAACAGCTCTCCGAATTAAAATTAATCCGTTTTTGGGTTAGTTATGTGTTTTTTAAGCTTTGGTTTGTACAAAAAATTGTCTTAAAAATTTTGATAAATATAATATATATATTTTTTCAGTTAGAAGCTTAAAACGCAATGAAGGAGTCTTTTCCGACCCTATGTTTCATATATATTCTTGATCAGCAACAAAAGCCAAGTCGATCTAGCTATCTTTGAAAGAAAACAAAATTTTTAAATTTTTTTCTATATTTTATCATCATTAATATAGTCAAAAATTTATCAAAAATGTTGATTTTTTAGATTAGTATGCAGATTTATTATGCTAATAAAAACTAAAATAGGAATGCTTTCCGAATTGAAATTAATGCATTTTTGGCTAAGTTATGCATTTTCAAAACTTTGATTTTTGGATAAAAATGTTAATATCAAAATTTAGATAAATAATGGGTCAAACAATGCAAATTTTTAATGTTCAACTTTCGATTTGATTGGAATTAGCAATGGTATATTAAATACGGTTTTCCGAAATTAATTTCCTTTCTTGTTTTATCATATTTTATATCATCTTTACAGAGATAGTTAACGTAGATATAGAATAGATAAAGAATACCATTTCTACCTCAAACCCACATCTTCCTTTACTCTTTAAGATTTATATAATATATCAATATATATTGCACAAAATATACTTAATAAAAATAAAGTTTTCAAACTTACAAGCTCTTCTCCTCGCTGGTCACCGGCTGCGTCTTGTATCGCTCTCTTTGCAGATCCCTGCGCAGGACACTTGGCTTCAAGAGCCTGGGTGTGGCACCCAGCTGCTCTCCCTTGGTAGCCGACTCCAGTGGGGATTCCCAGCTACCATTGGGCCCACCAGCCACACGGGCTGTGGGTGAGGAGAGCATCTCCATGCGCTTAATTCGCTCAGCCACCGAAATGCTCGATGGTGTGGTCACAAAATCAACAGGAGTACTTGGAGCTGCTTGCGAGGTGGAGATGGCATCCAGTGCCGCTGCTAGATCCATAACAGGCGGTGCATCCTGACGCTCCAGTGAACGAGTGCGTCGCTTCAATAAGCTATTGTTGGATTCCTCCAGGTCATGCGAAGTGGAGCCCAGCGACCGGCGCTTTGAAGGAGAGTCACTCTTGAGGATTGAGGATAGGGAATCAACGGCATTGCCGTCATGGTCCAGACCGCTCAAGTCGAACTCCTCACGACTGCTCTTGCGCGAACTCTTCAAGATGGGACGTATCATCTCAGGCTCATCGGCCTCACCAAAAGATTTCTTCTTTAGTATGGGCTTCGGGGGACGCACTGCCTCCTCGCTGGAGGTGCTCTCCTGCTTCAGAATCGGTCGTATCTCAGGCTCTTCAGTGCCATCCTCCAGTGTAGAACCACCATCATGGGCGGCCAGCTCAGCTGCCGCCAGAGTAACAGCTTGTGAAATGGACACATGCTTGTGGCAACCACCATCCGAGGGTGTGGACAACGAGTCCTTCTTCTTTAGGATGCTATGCGGCTGACTCTCATTGGCCGAGGGGCAACCATCACTCTTGCTGCTATCGTAGCTACTCTGCTTGAGGATGCCATGGCCCTGATGGGCTGGACTCAGTCCAGTGCCTGCTTCTTCCAGAGAATTCCTTCGTGCGGACTTGATTAGTATGCTTCGCTCATCGGGCGAATGGGAACGGGAATAGTAGCGTGACTCATCCAAACTCGAACGCTTCTTGAGTATTCCCTGACGCTTGCAGCGAGCTGCTGCTCCAGCCAGCGGTGGATCCATCACGCTCGAGGAGAAGGTCACCGGTGAGGCATTACTCGAGGCACTCGAGTTGCAATCACCGAGGCCATGCTCCTTTTTCTTCAATATGGATACAATTTGATTGGGTGCCGGCGGTGAGTTTTGAGCTGGTAAACCCGCAACTCCACCCTCATCCGTGCTCTTGCGACGCAATATGGCTGACAATTTCTGACTGGTGGTGGGCTCCTCCGTGGGCTGTTGCTGTTGTTGCTCCGATTGCTCTGCAATCTTTTTGATTTCGGCCAAATCTGTCTTGGTTCGTTCATTAAACTTCTGAGTCACATTACGGGCTGCCACAGGAGCATGCAAGGGTCGTGGAGCGGGCAATACAGCGGTCATGGTGCGAACAGGAACCTCCGGATGACGCACGGCCGGATAAGTTGGACGATAGGTGGACTCTGACTTGGAGGTGTTTGTAGTCGTTGACTCACTGCAGGAACTCTTCAGCGGCGAGTGTAGCAAATCCCTCAGAGCTTCATCATCGCCAGGAACCAAAGGACGGGCCATGCCCAATTCACGACGTCGTCGACGGCGGCTCGAAGAGGCAGCAGCCTCATCTGTAACAGATAATTAAATAAATTAATATATATTTTAAAAGAATTATTAAGTAAATTAATAAGCCACTGGACGTAACACGTGCATAACATTAATTGAGGACAGGGACTATTCACAGCTCTGAGGATTTTAACGTATTTTACACAGGTTTTCTGAATGGAAAAGCTTTCATTTTCAAATAGCACAAAATGATTTAAATGAAAGTGTTGAAAATGATAGTTGAAAAAGCTCATGATTTTCACGCTTAACGCTCAAAGATCAAAGATCGAGTGATTCCAGCGAAGGCAGCAGCAGCTGCTCTGCTCTGGTTTCCATTTAAAAACCAATTCGATACGCATTCAAGCTTGAAGACAGTCCAATTTTGGTGGTGCCGCTGTTGCCATGATGCATCCATTGTGGCCCAACTTACCGCCATCCTTGGTGGCTTCCTCGGTCAACGAACGGTTTAGATTCGATTTCCGCTTGGCCGACTTGTCGCGATCACCCAAACGACGTGGTGATACTTCAGGCTGTGGATTAGATTTTTATTATTATAATTATTTGTTAATATTTATAGGTTTTTAAGGAGAAGAAATCAAGCTTTAGAAGGTGGTTTTACTTAAAGAAACCTTCTCTTTTGATTTCTTTCCTTCTTAAATGTTTTATTTCTTACCGTTCTCTTGTGCTTTTGCACAGGACTCAGTTGGAGATTGGCCAAATGGTCACGTGTTCCATTTTCTGCTCCTTGGTCCGTGCTCATTGTGGAGCTACGTGGTCGCATACGAAGCGTGCACTCTGCCAAGGCCTTGGGCGGACTCACAGCTCCGCCCGTAAAGTGCAATTCGCTGAGGGATTGTTTCATCGAGAGGCCCGAACTGATGGCCACTAGGGGCTGACGTCGCTGGGTTGGTGGTGTCTCCGCCGGTTGTGAGGCAGATCTTGACTGGACGACTCGGTTGGACGAAGAACCTGGCTCCGAGTTGAAGCCACTGATGACTTGACCCGGCGATTTGGGTGACAGCTCGGAGCTGCTGAGGCGACGTTGAGCCAATGATGGTCCTCCACCGTTGCGGGGCGATACGGGTGAACTATAACGTTGACGCTGCTGCTCTTCTTCCTTCTTTTTATCTGCGAGGGGGTTTTTTTGTACACAGACACACACAATATTGAGATGTTGATGCGGGTAGGAAAAAAACACATAGAGAAAAAGGTGGTTTCTTTTACTTTTCCAAGCTTTAAAGCAAGTTTCTCTTTTTTCTCTGTGTGTTTTGTTTGGTTAAACATAAATACACGCAAAAACAAAACTACTTTTGGTTAGGTTTTCACAGGTTTAGAGAAAGGCTTAAGACCCAATGACCTTCAGAGATAGTTAGAAAGAGAGAGAGAAAGATCTGGAAACTCACCCAAGGCGGCGGCGCGTAGACGACTCGCCTTGGTGGTGCGCACCGCTGGCGAGGTTTGGGGCGAGGTGGCTGATGAGGAGCAGCTGCCACCGCCGCCGCCGCTGCCACCGCTAAGCAGCGGACTGGCAATTGCAAGCGGAGGAGCAATGGTGGATGAGGTGGTGGCAGAAGCGGAGACCAAGACCGAACCCAGACGCAGTGGCGACACTGGATTCTTGCGGCGTTTGGCTGGTGAAGAAGATGCAATCGATGTTGTTGCAGTGGCTAAAGGCGGCATGGGCGTGGCCTGGTTTTGTTGTTGTTTTTTAAGCAAATGCTGTTGTTGTTGTTGTTGTTGTTGGTTAGTATTGTTGTTGCTGCTGCTAATGTTGCTGCTGCTAATGTTGCTGTGTCGTTGTTGCCTCGTGTTGCAGTTATTATTGTTGTATTGACTGTTGTTGCAACTTATACTGCATTTGCCCGATTTTCCTCCTCTTTGGCTGCTGCTGCTGCTGCTGGCTGTTAGTTTTTTATAATGCGTGGAGTTTTTTGTTGTTGATATAGTAAAGACATTAAAGCATATGATTGCGGCTTGTGTTGTGGTTGTGCTGCTGTTTGTTTTTGTGAAAGGTTTCGATTGCATAATGATCACAGGACGGGGGGAAGCAAAAACAAATCAAAACTTAAGACTCAAAGATCTCAAATCTCATATCAAACTCTGGCAAAGATTGATTGGTTGGTGACAACGAAACGTTGATTATTGCGAAAGTGCTTTGGCTGTGACAAAAGAAAAGCATTAAGCTGAAAGACGAAAGACGAAAGTTTTTCAAGCCGATCTCTTAGGTCATTAGGTTGAACGCCACATTAATGATGATGTATTAACTCGTAACTTGTCATCATTAATAGAGCTATACGAAAACATTAAACTGACAAAAAGGCAGTGATTAGATTATCGCCAATCGATTAGATTTCGCTCATAAATATACACCAAAATTTACGACTCTCTCTAAAGAGGTAAAAAAATGTGGTGGTAGTCCCAAAAAAAAATTTGAAAAAGGGCACTTAATAATTGCTACTAGAGAAGAGCTATATGAATCAGCTTTTGGGGTTCTCTAGCTAATTGATTTTTGAAGATATCTTAGAAATATTAAGTATCCATTAAAAAGGAGATGATTACTAAAGGTTAACTTCGATATAAATATCAAATAACTAACAAATTCAATAGACAATAAATAATCCACCTTCTGGCTTGAGAAAGTTTCTTTAAAGAATTTCACCAACGATTGTTGGAGATAAACAACAACAAGCAAAAACATGTAAGAAAACTAACTTAGGGGAGGCTTAAGTTTTTATACCTTTACAATTTGCAATTGAATAATAGAATTGAATAGAAAAACGATCATAAAAATGCTTAAAAAGGTATTCCTTTTATACAACTTCAAATACTCATAGCTAAGCCAAAAATGCATTAATTTTAATTTGGAAAGCTGTTCTATGCTAGTTTTTATTAAATTAATAAATCTGCATACTTAATTTAAAGTTTGGGCCAATTCCAATTTTTGTCAATTTTTGAAAATTTTTATGATGAATTTTAGCTCTTAAAAATTGTAAAAAAATTTGAAAATTTTTTTCCTGCCTAAGATGGCTAGAACGACTCGGCTGTTGATGCTGATCAAGAATATATATGATTTATAGGATCGCAAATGTCTCCTTCACTGATTTATATGCTTCTGACCAAAATTATAATATATAAAAATTATTCCACAGTTCACTAGAATCCATCCATCTAACCCTTTTTGTTTTTCATCATTAAAGTTTCTAATTAACCTGAATTGAATTTTTTTAATATAGAGAAATATATTAACCTCTTAACTTTCTGGCACATGGAAATCTCTCCCTAGAATTTCTCAAAGTACTCAAAAATTCTTTAAAAACAAACCTCACAAAACCTCACTGTAATCACACCTCTTGACCTTCCTGTGTGTGTTTGTGTGCCCTCTGGAAATGCTGGTGGCTTATGTAAAACCAAAAACGAATTTCATAATCCACACAGAAGACTGGGCAAAAGAAATGGGCGCAAAAAAAATTTTAAAAAATATGTATAGAAAAATAAAACACATTTTTTGAGCAAATCATCTCCGGGAATCTCCGCTCCGTTCATTGCCTTTTCTGCCTGTCTGTCAAAGATAAGTGAACGCTCCGCTCCCAAAACTTTCCAGGCGATCATTGGCCCATCTAGACAGGGCACAGAAATCAAATTAAAGTGATCAAGAAAAAAATTGCCAAATTGGTAAATATTGAAATCCATATGCGAGAGAGCTTTGTGAAAACAAAACAACGAAGAAACACAATTGAAGGGAAATCGATATGGCAAGGCGGATCATCAAAAAACGCTGTTTATTATTATTATTATTTTTGTTCGGAACCCTTTGGTTCTGTGTGTGGCCATAGTAAATCTTAACGATTAAACGGAGCATTCCCATAACAAAGTGATAGGCAGAGATCAAAGATCGGGAGTTCGGGAGACTTTCTCAAGAGCCGGAAAACCGTTAAAGAAACAGAAAGATAAAAAAGGGGTCGTTGTCGTCTGTCAGAAATTTATGAAACCCATGTCCACATTTGATAATAAACCCGATTTCCGATCCATTCATTGATAAATATATAAATAAAAAATACAGAAAAAAATGGGCACAGCCTCATCGTCTTGTCGAAGACCTATTAGCAATTTTATGGCATCTTTCATTTGCCTAAGTTGCGTGAAGACTTGCCCCTCTTGTTCGGTGGGTTCGATTTTACATTTAATGACAAACAATTTTATTCATTTATACGCAGGTTTCTTTTTATTTTATTTTGCAAAAACCTCGCTTGGGAAACCTCTCGATGAACTCATAATGCGAATAATAAAACCAAAACTTGCGCAAATCGCTTTTATATAATTCGGGCCTGTTAGATTTTTTCTGACAGCAGTCAAAACATTTGAAAACATTCGAATTGATTCGACTTGAATCGAGTTGCTCAATTGCAATTTGATTTAAATGCTTTTTTGCGGCCGAAGGTCTCTCTCTCGGTCTAAATTAACATTTGTCTAGAAAACGCTTTTCGCTTGATTGGCAAGCCGACAAAAATCTAATTTAGTTTAAATTGCTTTTAAGTGTGCAAAAAAAAAAAATACAAAATAAAAACAAGGCAGCGAAGAAACCCAGTGTTGTCTCGCCTCTTCCGATAATGGAGTTTGGTTTTATTTCTATTTCTTTATTTTTTCTTAGGCTAATTTGCAGAAAACGTTGACAGGCCGCGGTTCAGGGCTGAGTTGGCATGGGGCGGGCTAATTACCTCAACTTTTGGCTGGGAAAGTTTGCCCCCAAGAATTAATGAATTTGTTAAGCAAAAATACGAAAATAGTGGAAGCGGGAATGAGTAGGTAAAGGTAAATTAAAGTGTGAGATAAAAAAAACGATCAAGAGAAAAGGTAGTGAAGGGTTCCAGATAATTGGTTGATTTGTTTCAGAGAGATAAAGGGATATAAGATTGAATTAAAGGTTTCTTTAAAGGGTTTAGAAGAAATAGTGCCTTGAAATATTGATCCTAAATCAAGGGATATACTTTTTGGAAACTAAAAATGGCAGACCTCATACACAAACTCATTAAATGAGCAACTCGAGTGGGTAAATCCTTCCGAAAGGGAATCCTTTGCCATCGAGAGGGGTTGTTTGCAATTGATCTATCCTTCTCAAAGAGATCAAATACTTATATAAAAGGAGATCTCTAAATGATCAACTCAGGTGGTTAAAAAGGAAAGGTAATATCCTGTCTTTTTATAGAAAATAAGAAACTCTTAGGGGATGCTATAAAGCAAATAATAATTACCCCTTTCTTAATAACACATATCGAAAAGCAATCAACCGGGATATTTCTTGGATAAAGGAAGAACACAATTACGCATTAACATTTTTTCTTGAAATGTATATAGGATAATTTCTGGGGATTCTATAAATGATATCCTGGCAAGTGAAAGAAGGAAATCTCTCAACTATCTATGGTATATAAAATAAGGGATAAAGGAATGACGCAGTCTATAAAAAGAAACTCCTCAAGGATAAAATTAAAGCGTAGTGAAGAATCAGCTGCTAAGCAGAAGGGTTGGAAGGGATTTAAAAATAAGTCTAAATAGAGAAATAAAGAATTTAATAAATACAGAATAAGAGTTAATGATAAGCTATCAAGGCTAAGCAATGGATTTTCTGGCGTAGAATGAGTACATAACAGGATGAAGGTGGTAAAATGTGAAAAAGGGAGACAATATCGAATTATATTGCCTCAAAAATAGGACATTTCTTAAGACAGCTAGATAAAGGCAGGATTTAGGAAGCAGTTAACAATAACTAGGACATCACAAGCACAAATCAGACAAAGACAATCACTGAAACTGGCATCAAAAACACAACACAAAAATCAAAAGAGATTCCAAACTCACCTGAGATGGCGTTCGATGAGGCTGGGCAGGATGTGACAATTGCTCCTGATTGAGACTCTACCGATGGAGTCTTAGGAACTGAAGCGGTAGGATAAAGCTGAAGGTGTTGCTGATGCTGATGATGCTGATGATGATATTGCGAGGACGGTGGTGGCGTGGCCGGGCCGTGGGTCATCACAGTGGTGGCTGCCGTCTCATAGGCGGAACTATTACCATTCGCCGAGGATTGAGTATCAACGGTGGCAGCACCTGATTGTAATTGCTTATTATTCCGTTTCCTTGTGGGCGATGGTGAACTGCAGGAGGAGTCACTGTGTCCGGCTACAAATGGAGGCGGCGAATGTCCGGCGGAACTCTGGCGACTGGCGGAGCGTGTGGTGCGCGTTATAAATCTGCGAAGGCGACATTCGATTACTTATAATCATTTCAATTCAATTTGCGCGGAAACAAAACAAAACACACACATGCCAAAACGAGATATACGATCCGGCAGATGGAAGAAAGATACAACGGGAGAATTACAGATTGAGATACATCCGCTAGAGGCGGCACGGCTAGACGGCAGCAAACACGCTCGGCAACTGCCGAGGTTTGGCCCAGCAAACACAGTGGAAACCCACGGTTTCGACTCGACGAGAGCGGTTTTTGGTTTTCGGTTTTACTTTTTGTTGTTATTTTTCTGTTTTGTTTTGGATTTTAGTTGTATTTTTTTTTTTTGGGTTTTTGCCGCTTGGTATCTTGCAGATACATGGCCATAAAATTCACTCACTCAACTCAAAGCAGAAATCACTCGAAAACAGAGTGAAGAGCTAAGAGAGAGAGCCCACAAAATTCGCACATTTGTGCCAGGTAGCAGAGCGGTGTCTACCGTCAGAGCTACAGATACAAGATACAAACACAGACTTTATCTCTTCGACCGTCAAAGAACAAAGCGTAACAAGTTTGTTATTGTTATATAGATTGGTATTACTTGCCGTTGCCGAGCATTACCATTTACCATTTGCACGCATGCGCAACAGGCGGCATCGCAGGTAGCTGTATCTCTCAGCTGCAAAAAGTATCTCACAGTACGCCCCGTAAGCGATATCCATTTAGCGCAGACACTTCCTCATATCTCATCTCCCTTTTGCCTGACAATGCATTTTGTGTCTGTTTTTAGCGAGCGAGTGAAGAATTTTGCAGCTCGCTTTGTGGATAGTCAATGAAGTGCGAGACTGTGGTCTCAAGACTTGGCTCTGTCTATTTGTCAGCTTTGTTATGAGGTTTGGTTAGTTAGTTTATTAGTCGGTTTGTTAGTGGGTTAGTTAGTGGCTTTGCTTGTGAGTTTTTTAGTGGGTCATCTTGTCTGTTAGTTTGTCCTCTAGTTGCGTATCCCTTAGTATGTCAGTTTCGTTTTTTGTCCTTCAGTTTGTTCGTTAGTTTGTCCGTTAGTTTATTTGTTAGTGTGTCCGTCAGTTTGTCCGTCAATTTGTGCCTGCAAATTTGTTTGCCTGCTAGTATTCTTCGCTTTTTGTGCCCTTGCAGGGCATTATAAGTATATTCAGAAGTATGAAACGCAGTGAAGGAGTCATTTCCATATAAATCATATATATTCTTGATTAGCATTAAAAGCAGCATCGATCTAGCCATCTTGGGCAACAAAAATTTTTTTTAAATTTTTTTCAAATTTTGTTGATGCATATTTTATTAAATTGTAACAAAAAAAAATTGAGAAAAATTTTAATTTTTTTAAATTTTAAATTTAGTATGCAGAATTGTTATTCTAACTAAAACTAGCATAGAACAGTTTTCCGATAGAAAATTAATGCATTTTTTGGCCTAGTTGTGATCGATTTTCACTGCAGGGGTATAGAAATTATGGGTTTCTTTATTGTTTTTATTTTCAAGTTTTTCTATTCGAAAATAATATTAGATGGACTTTAGGTTTTTGTCGCCTGAGTGTTGATTTACAACATATTTATATTATTTATGTTTGTCCGTTAACTTGTCCTTGAATTTGTCTAACAGATTTTCCCATAAAAATGCCTTCTGGGTTTTTTGATAGCTTGATTAGACGTTTGTTCCTTAGTTTTTCTCTTCTCTTGTTGATTAGCTGTTTATCCTACAGTTTATGATATAGTTTGTCCGTTAGTGTGTCCGCTATTTTGTCCTTTAATTTATCCCTCAGATCTTGCCACCAGTTTATCCAGCAATATTATTTCATTCGCACATTTTATCCGCCTCTTCGATGATCAGTTCATCAGTTTATTCATCAGACATCCGACAGAGTTCGTCCGTGAGTCTGTCTCACCGTTTGTCCATCTGTTTTTCCGTCAGTCTATCTGTCTGTCAGCTTTGTTTTTTGTTTTGTCTCCGTTGGTTTGTCAGGTAGACAGGCTGCTGCACATTTAAATGTCGCGACGCATCAATGTCACTTTTTGCTTTGTGTACTTTATGATGGCACGAGACGATGGCACACAAAGATACAATGTTTTTCAGTACCCCGACAAGGCATGATCATTTCCAACCCAAAAACAGTGGGAAATATCCCGAAGGAGTGATCCTATGATTTCAGGAAGTAGGTTAAGGGATTAGCCCAAAAGAAAATAATGTGTCTGGAAGTTATTTATTAAGGGAGTGATATTCAAGATCTTCAGACTTTGGTTTAAGGGATTAATCCTTAAAGAAGAAGAGTCTAAAGTCGGGTATAATTATAATCTATAATAATAAGATATACTGTCTGTCTGTTTTGACTAGACTAATTTTTAAGGGGATTCATTAAGACCAGACAAACAAATAATTAAAGTTATCTCAAGACCTCCCATTTAATTGGAATTAAAAACAGAGGTTGAATTCAATTATTATTTCTGAATTTCTTTACAGCATCTTCTTTTCAGTTGACCTTAAGGGGGTTAAGATTTCTGGGAAACCAATTTCAAGGGTATTCCCCAGGCCTTCACACTCTTCACTCTGCCTTCAATCTCAATCTTTATCATCATTTAGATGATCATCAGCTTGTTTTGCTTTTCAGTTTTAGATTCTTGCCAGCTTACTTGACTTTGCCCGTGCGTCAAATGGAAATTTCCATAAATTGTATAAATTGCTAGAGACGCATATGACGTATCATCATCATCTGCTGGCTACCGGCTGAAGGAGGAATCTGCGATTGCCGAGAACTTTCCAACCCGTTGGAAAAAAGGAAAAGTGATGATGAGCGAGCGAGCTAGTCATGTCTTTAACCAGTTTGTAAATGTTTTTCTTTGTTTTTCCCGTGTTTTTTTTGGGAGATCGAAGCACAGCAGCTGGTAGAGGAAAGCGAAAACCAGGACTAGAGACTATTGACGATCTGGGCCAGGCTCAAAAACTGGCCATTAAATATATGGATACACAGCAGGTGATCGGATGACGGTGTTGACACCAACGAAAAACATAAAATAAAAACCAGATAAATTCCACACTTAATTGCCGGGCATTCAAATTTGTTTCTTCTCTTCAGTGAAGATTCTACATTGAATGCATTTTCGAGACATTTTAGAAAATCTTGTCGCTTTTACCACTCTTCATTTCTTTTGATGCTGCTGCTGCTGCTGATGCGGCTTTTATGAGGCATTTTTGTAGCGAAAGCCTATTGGAAAAACTTGTCGCTGGTCTTGGTCTTGGTCTCGGTCTCGGTTTCAGTTTTGGTTTCGGGTTTGGCTGTAAAACAGGTGCTTTCTACGCGGGATTTCTTTTCGGTTGGTCGTGCCCAGGTTGGAGGTTCGATGGGGTCATCAGCGACAATGTGCCATTCGTTTTGTGATATATCACATTATAATTGATGGAACTTGAAGAGAGAGACTCCAGACCTCGAGACCGGCTGCTGCCGCTGCGAATTGCACTCTCCACGCACTGATGCGATATTGCCGAAGATGTCGCCGCGATACCGATACCAAAGATCCCAACTCAAAAACCCCACAAACAATGGACCACGTAACACCCCGAAAGCAAAGAGAAAAAAATAAAAATAAAGCAAACAATACATGGATTTTGTTTGTTAACAAGCTCTCTGGGTCTACCTCTGTGAATCTACACAAATCTCCGATTTGTTTGGGGGCCCGGCTTAAAGAGAGCCGCCAAGTCTGGGACCATTGTATAACACAACATCGAACAATATAAGCGAAGATAGTATATGTATATATTGAGGAGCTACAAGAAAGAGGTGGCCCCCACAATGCTGCCAATTTGTTTTGATTGTGAGTCCAAGGATTATGTATCGACGGCCCAGGCTTACACAGATTAGTTGCAACGGAAATATGTTTATAGTTAAGGGGAAAAGAGAGAGGAGAGTTCGTAGAATAATATACATTACTAAAATCGTATTATATTTATGCTGGGGTAATCAGCCGCAGTTTTCCTGGAACAAAAGTGCTTTCACGCACCTGCTGCTCCTCCCTGCTCATACTATGGTAATCAGCTTGATGACCCCGAAGTAATTCCAATCAAAGCCAACACAGGCACAGTGAAGGTCAATAGAATAGCAAAGCAATGTAAATTTATATAAAAGAGGAATTTAGCAATGTTATTATTTGTTTAGAGCTGATTTATAAACTATATATCTTTGATTTAAGCTCATTTATCTTTAAATATAAATGTTAATCATTGTTTAAAACATCATTATTTACATTTCTCTACCCTTGATCATCACTGTTTTTTGTGCTGGCCTAATTAGCCTCCATGGAGCAACATCATGCTGTTGTACAAGGACCTGGCAGCACTTCCTCCACCTCCTCCTCCTAACCTAAACCCGTAATCATGACAACCTATTCCCTCTAACCTAACGATGGCAAGGAAACAGAACTAATTATGCGCTTAATTGCGCAGGAAACAGATTCAATACAGGACTATCATGGATACGGATACATTTTTGGGTAGGATGACGCTGGTGAGGAGTGAAGTTATACAAGGATTCTTGGATACCATGCGGGGTGGTCGTCTCTCACAGCTTACCTGCGCGCATTGGTGGCCTGGTGGTGATGATGATGCGACTGATGTGGCTTGGGTTCTACTGGTTGCAATGATGATGGATGAGCTTGTGTTGGTGATTCTGCTTCAGGATCTGACTGATGGCCATTGGCCGACACTCCATTGACCAGTTCCTGTCCCGCACTAGAGCGAAGCTCCTGACCCCAGTGATCCATAACATCACACTGATTGAACTGCAAAGTGTTGTCGTACTCTTCGCCATCATCATCGTCATGGAGGGTGTGCCTTGTGGCAGGTTTGGGCATCTTGGGTGGTTCCACAAATAACCTTTCCGTGCAAATGGGCTCTCCGGGACTGTAGGAGGGGGCATCCTCTGAAACAGGAGCTGCTCGCTCCAGACTCTTGGCCAGACGTAAACTTAGCCGGCTAGAGTTTTCCTTAAGTGGGGAGCTCAAGGCAATGGAATCATCTTCCGGAGGTGGCAGTGAATTGGCCTTGACACTCAGATTGGTGACCTTGTGACTGGAGTGCAGGGCATGCAGGGCACCCTCCTCATCCTCACTGCTGGAGGGAGCTCCCCTGGCTCCTGGTAACTGAAGCTGCTTTGGCTGCTTGGGATTGCCACTGCTGCTCATTTGGGGATTGAGGTAGTGATGGTGCAATGGCCAAAAGGTCGCCAGCTTGTCGGTTGTGATCTTAGGGGAGTCCTGCTGGGATTGATCCTCCTTCGATTGCTCCTTCTCCTTCTGCCGCTCCTGCTCCTGCTCCTCGTTGCTGCTGCTGCTGCTGCTGCTGGTGTGACCCACGTCCAGGTTCTTCTCCTTGCATATTATGTCATATAGGGCGCTAATGGGACGCGACTCACTGCGCACGCGCACCGCTCGCCGGGATCGGCTGTGGAAGCGCTGCTTGTGCCGGCTATTGCGACCGGATGCGGATGCGTTTACTACGGGACTAGCCTGCTCTACGGGATTACAACTACTTATGACCGTGCTGGATGTGATGGGGGAGTTGTGGTTCGTAATGGGCTCGTTGCCCTCGTGGCTAACTTCACCTTTGGTAGGGCTCACAGATCCCTGAGAGTATCTGAAGAAGCGACCCTCGCTCCCGGTCCTTGGCTGTGACCTCCGGCTCCGATTTCCGCCTGCGCGCCCCTCGCTGGACGCAGAGTCGCCACGAAAAAACGAGACTGGTGCCACACTCGATGCCGTCGAGGTTTTGGGAAAGGATCGTTGCTCCACCAACTGAGTGCTGGGCGTAGTATAGACACTTCGATAGTTCTCGTTCAATGCCCCTGCATCCGATACATTTGGTGTGTGAATCCTTAGCTGCAGATCCGTATAGTAGGCGGGCGTGGTATGGTGATGGAAATGCGGATGCTGGCCACGATACTTCACGGCGACACTGCTCCTCTGTGAGCTGGAATCCTCCGAGTTGGTCTGCTGCTTATCCTGATTTGGCAGCAACTTCGCTAGCTGCTTCTTCTCCTGAGTTTTGGCAGTGGCAGTGGCAGGTGCTGTGGATAAGTCACTGGAGGCCGCAATGGTTTCTGCAAAAGGAAAAGATAGAGAAAAAAAAGTGAGAGAGAGACGAGGTGAAAATAAGAACCAAGGTGAGAGTGGACTTAATGGAAAGTAATGCTAACTCGTTTTCCCCAAACACAATTTTCCGCTTAATGTTGCATTATGTGCCCCCCACAAGGGGGATTTGTAACACTTAAAGAAATTGGGAATTCAAGAAGTAAGTTTATTTGAAGGTAAATATATAATATTTAAAGAATTTATTATTTAAAAGTTTCAGAAATTGACTCAAAAATTATTATCATTCTATTTCCTTTATAATTGATTAGGTTTTCTCGAAACTATCTTATATTTCCTATACAATTTTATGCCATTTTCATTTTTTTTTAGGCGTTTATTACTTAAACACCAAATAAAAAGTAAGAGCAACATTAAATAATTTCCTTTTATGATATTGTAATTAATGGTATAAAAACTTTTTGGAATTCCAGCTTTAATAGTTCCTGATGTATAGATTTTCGTAAGGACATACGGACAAGCAGGCGAACGGACAAACGGACAAATAAAAATATGGAAAACAAGTGCTTCAAAATTACCAATAAAATATATAAATTAAATAAAGTGTTTTTGTGGGACTACTTTAAATAATCTCCGAAATAAATACATATATTTAATAGTTTCCATATTTATATATATAAGCCACATTTTATTTTTCCAGTGCATAATTCTCCCCTATTTCCCCCGCACCGCAAATCTGTCTGTGTGTGCTTACTTTTCTAATTCACTTTTCGCCCGCCGCACCACTTGGCGCGTAAAAAAAGCAAATCTTGGCAGCAATTAAATTGCACCTGAGCACTCAGATTAATATATTGCATGCTCGGCGGACATCTCGGGCCCCACCCACTCACCCACCCACCTCCTACACCTACACCTACTATACACCTAAAACCTACAACCATGTCAAGGTGAGGTGAGGGTTGCCTGCTTTTTATAGCCGAGCATCATCTGCTCTGGCAATGAGTGCAGTTTTTATTTTTATTTCTTCTTTGGGATACATGGGGCAGAGTGACTGTGTGAGAGAGATTTGCAAATGCAAATCGCATTTGACAACTGCCAAGGCATAAGCGATTAGTTATGCTATTTTCTGTACAAAAGTAGGAAGCAAACGAATGCCTAATTAATCAAATATCTGAGAGCTCAAAGGGAAAAATAATATAATGGTACAAGACATTTACTTAGTATTTTTTTTAATTTACTTTATAAGTAAAAGAAATAAAAGCAAGATTACATGATAGAAAATACCCTGTTTTATGTGTGTCTAAATTTATAGCCTACTTTGAGGAACTAAAATCAAAGAAGGAGTAAAGGAGATTAAAGAGCTTATTGTAAATTATAGTACTAATTAGTAAGACAACTATTTCCCTCTAAATTTCATTACAAGATCGGTTTATAATGACATCTCTATAAGAACAATAAATAATGTGTAAAATACCAATAAAATACTCTGAATTCTCTATGAAAATAGCTTTGCATATTATAATAATCTACAGAAAAATCATACTTAAGACTATTAAAATTAACTAGAGAATGTTAATAGTAAAGAATCGCATTTAGAGGTACAAGAAAATCTATTATTGAAACACAACCTGCTCATAAAATACTTTATTACACAATATATAGTACACTCATTGTAATCCACAAGTACCGGCTATAAAATATAATGCTTATTATTATTATTCCTTTTATACAATTCATTTGACAGCTGCGGCGCACATTTCAAATGCCAAAAATCTGAAATGGAATCCCATGAATGTGCACAAATAAAATGCTTTTTGCAAATGCTGAACAAATGTAAGAGCTCTCCTCCTATTCCATTTCTTTTATTTTTGGTGCCTAATTTATTATGACAAGCAGCCAAAAAAAAAATGTATATGTATATATGAAAGTATAGGGAAAAATAATACAACAAATACAATTAACAGGCAAATGCGAGAAGAGAGGTTCCGGAGAGTGCGATCTTCAAGATACATATTTGTCCAGCAATTACGAATGCCCAGTGAAATTCAAATATTGAAACAGTTAGCACATCTTCTCGGTCGAGAGACTTTGCCGCATATCTAATCAGATGGCGGAGAGCAAACAAACACAAAGCAAAAGTCAATTTGTAGATCGGAAAAATGGCAATAAGAGCTGAGAGGTAGCAGGAAAACATGGTCTGCAATTAAAAGGCAATGTTGCAGCAGGCCAACAAAACACAAAATTGCACACCACAAAATTTGTAATTCAATTAACATAGAGGGAGAGCCAGACACACACTCATGTGTGTGGGCGAGCATTTTGTCATAGTTTTAACTTTATAAAAGAGTCAGCAGTCAACAGTCAGCACAACCCTTTCGTAATTTCAATCAGCGATTGAAGGGCTTGTTTAACCCCTGAAACACATCACATCCCACGCTCAATTAACAAAAAATAAAGCAATATGTTGCCAAGCGCCATGGTGGTTCCCGCACAATTCCCTCAATGTCTGTCTGCTTTTTTGGTTCTCTTAATTGATTGAAATGGTTTTTTCAGTTTTTTCTGTATTTTCTTCTTTTCACTTGACTTAAAAATAAATTTCTGTCTGAATTCTTTACAACAAAATCGCATGGGATAAGGCTTTGCCTCTATTTCTTTTTATATATAAAAATCTTTCACCTGAGCCAAGTCAAGTGCAAAGAAAGATTACATTATAATTGGCAATTGTATGAAACATATATCAAGAAAAACGATTCTAGTGGGAGAAGGGCAGGCACGTGCTTGGTCTATTTTCATGAAAAATAGAAAATGTCAAGAGGCATGCTCTAATTCAAAATCATTTGTCACAATCTAATGATATTTCTGAGTAAATAAATTGCAAAAGTAAGAATATTGAACTCAAAGGTAAACACACAAGACTCCCCTACCTTATCTGTGGAGCAACTTCCTTTCTTTTCCGGAAAAAACAAAAAATAATTGAAAGTAAACATAAAGCTATACTTTTTGTTTATATTTTGCCAACACAGCAGAAAGATTTTTAAAAATACATCCGCAAAGACGACAATAACCGCCAGAGTTGAATGAACAAAAAAGAAAAGAAATAAACTCTATAAGGTTTACTGAAAATATATTCAAAATATATCAAAAATTGTGTACTAAAATTTTGTTCTCATCATAAAATTGCACACGAAAAATATAATATTTCTGAATGCATTTACGCAATGTCTAAATCTGGTCATAAACAAATTTTGAAAATCATGCAAAAAGGCAAATTGCCAACGTGGGATTTTCTCCAATGCCGGGTTGCATGCCAAAATCCAAACCAGAAAAATAAATAAACCCAGCGAAAATTACCAAATACCATTTTCTATCTTGGCATCATGCCGCTTTTCTGGGCTATTCGAGAAAACAGCTTTTAGGCCAGACGTTATGGTTTTTTTTTTCACTTAACTTTATCAAATTAATTAAGAGTGCAAAGCAGCTGGCCAAGAGTTAAGTTTAGTCATAATAATAATTACAAAAAAGCACCCATAAAGCTAAAGTTAAACCCAATACCAACAACTGTTCGCCGGCTGTCAACATTTTTGTGGCTTCATTGCGTTGAGTTACCAAACGCTTCTGTACATTTTTTTTGTTGTACTTTTGCACTTCTGTGTGTGGCTGTGTGTGGTGTGTTGTGCCTGTGGCAGTTGTGGCAGCGAAGCTGATTGATCGATTGCCTGTTGTCTTGCGTTTTGCGTCTTGTGCCACAGTCCCCAGGTTGCATAATTAATAAGGGGAGAGGCGAGCGTAGAGGGCAAGGCTTAAACTTGCAGCACTACAAAATATCATATTGTCAAGGCAATCCCATTCAGAGGCAGGCCAGCCAGCAAATAAAAAGAAATAGTCGAAAGGGTGCACTCTAAGAAATTGGACTTTAATCTAGGGTTTAAAGGTACTAGTAAAGATAAAGGTGGCTACCGTGAAACTGTAGTAAGTCCAGAGTATTTATAGAGAGAGGAGAGGTATTTAAGCTTCATCAATACTATATATGAGAGGACCTTTTGAAGGGAGTCTTTAATGTGCAACTAAAAGGTACTTGTAGGTGGCTATTATGACTCTGTATTAAGTCCAAAGAATTTATAGAGAGAGTGGTATATAAGGCCAATATATCAAGCTATCCAAATCATTGAACTATTCGAATTAGACTTTAATATCTAGTACTTGTAGGTGGCGACCGTGATACTGCTTTAAGTTAAAGGTATAAATAAATATCTATAGTTAAGAGGTATATAATCTCCACAAAAACTAAAAAACATACAATTCTTCAATCCCTATTTCCTTCTATACAAAATTTAAAATAAAACTCAATTTCCCCAAGTGCACATGGAAAAGCCATACCTATAAATACATGTGTGGCTGCAAAATCACAAAAAAAGGCAGTGAAGGACCAACAAAAATAAATATAAAAAAGCCTAAAGTTGAATCAATATTGAGCAGAAAAAAACAAAACTGCATTTTACAAAAGTGCCTGCCTGTTTCGTTGTTTACAGTTTACAGTTTTTCAGCTTTTCAGTTTTGCAGTTTTTCAGTTTTTCAGTTTGCAACACAGAACGGAGGCAGGCAATGTTGCAACGTCTCGCCGTTCGGGATTATTTTTAAATGCAAGGGCAAACTGCCCACGTTGAAGTGTAGTCCGACCACCGCAATTTCCCTTACTTTTTTATGCAATAAACACACATTTAATTATCAACGAGCAGAAGGGAACCCCAAGAACGAAAAACCTCTTATCGTCATCGGCCATAAAGTGGCCATCATCATCAGGAGAGTTCTTCTTCTTGTGGAAAACGAAACTCTTGACGAAAAGTGCACATCAAATTGTGTAATTTCATGTTTGGCAATCAAAAGCAGTTAAAAGAACCACCGAACGTTGGTTTGTGGGAGCTTCGAGAGGAAATTGGGTTAAGTAAAGTTCATCGGATGCTGGGTTTCGGCAGCGTGGGATGATGAGTGTGTGAGGGAAGTGAGTGCTCCA